TGCATTGAATCGCTTAAGTATGAGATCAAACTTTGGTTCACAACTCAATTCCACTTTATCATTCTTCAACTTCTGTACTATCTCAAGAGTCCTCTAGTGCGGGTTAATGTTATCAAATGGTATTGGACGACCCTATCGGATGTAATCCACAATCTCACAAACACAATGTAACCCGTGTGTTCATCGAATAACACATCCACATATTGAAGCATTAATGCTAACATTATCCGCTCGCTTACTCTCCGCTAAGACATGATCTAATACAGTAATAGAGATATTGCCTCGAAACTCTCTAAAAGGGGATGGTTTGAACTAGTGTTGTACAATGGTTAAACTCTTCTCAACGATGCCTTAATATCAACATGTTGTAACTTATGCAAATTATGGATCTTGGTCCAAGAACACTCAAAATTGACTTGGTTAAAACCAAGTTGTCGTTTAAGTTTTGCATGTGCACTTTCAGCCCTGTGTACAATGGAAACTGTAGACGTCCCCGAACGCCCCGGGAGGATGAGTCCCGTTCTGTTCATTTGGGATTACTACAGTTCGGACTCGACTTGTGTCACGGTTCTTAATCTGAACCAAAGAGTCCAAATCTGGCAAATCGTTTTGAGAAACAGATTTTTGAAAAAGTAGTGCCAAACATGGACTGCTTTGCCAGATACAGAGTCGCCACCTAAATATTTTAAAATGGGGAAATTTAGGAAACCCTGACTCAGTGCCGAAGGCCATATGTCCGTCATCTCCACGAGACCTCTCCCTCCCCTCGGGAAAAAAAACAGAGAAAATCGAGCCTGGTTCGCAAACCGAGGCAAGGCACAGAAGAGGGTTCGGAAGTCCGGAGGCAGGGCTCACGGCCGCGACTCTGAAACTTCTGAACGAGCACAATATGCAATATAATGTACCGTGTCACATGCATGTTATTGTTCTCCCTGCTAATGGCCGCTGTATAATACTTGGGATGACTTCTAAATAATGAGCTAATCATGGAATCCCTCTAATTATGCAAGGATATGCCAAAATATGCATGCAAACAAAAACATGACCAAGTATGAATGTTAACATACAAGATATAATTTTGAGATACAAACATGAACCAATTTGCCTAGAAGGTTAGCATGGAATTAGCACATTAAAATGGGACAATCATGCAATCAAATATGAGAATAAGCATGCAAGGGTGCCCTCAAAGTTGATAAAAGGTGCGCGACCTATTCAACCTCAAAACAGCACCAAAGAGTGCGGCTCAAAATGATGGAACAAACAACCTCATGCCACATGCAAGCTAATAGGACCCCGAGGCTAAGGCGCCAAATAGGGCCACTTTACTTCCAACAACAAGACCAAGCTATGCAATGATTAAGACAAGTAAGGACACCTTATTTTTTTTTGCAAATATGGGGAACCCAAAACTCCCTAGTATTTGGGCACGCTAAAAGATGATCCCAAAGAGGCATATGCCACCTAAGGCCATTACCTAAGGCATAGAGGGTACACCCTCAAGGGCATAAAAAGAGGCCATGCATGCACACCATTACAAAACATTTGATCCTTGAGCTAACAATGTGTCCTGATGATGTCAATCAATGAGGATAATTCACAACCATGCATGCTAAGAGGTCAACATGCTCAAAGAGCTTTCAAGGCCATAATACATAAGGCAACCCTAACCAACTGTCAAGGCATGCCAAATGGATAACCAACAGATTTTAAGCATGGAAAACACAACACTAAACAGCTTCATGGAACACTAAGCAACACACACAGAATTCATGGGCCTATTGGAGATGCGCTATTTAAGCAAAAACATGGAGGCAAATACAAAGCAAAGTTACAAGCATACTAAGGAGGCACAAATACGACCAAAAACATGAGGTTACATATGATCTAAAACACTTAAAAACTTTCTGAAATGAGGCCAGGAATCATCAAGCACACATTGCATAACCCTTTTTGAGCCCAAAAGCAAGGAATACAAAACCATGAAGGGAGAGGGATTGTCCCTCCCTAATGCCAAAGACTTTCAAACCAAACTTTTTGACACTAAAATACACATGGATTTTCAATGATTCAAAAGGAACAAAACACTGAAGTGAACAAACCTTATCAAAGAGGCACCAAAATGGACACAAGGCCTAGAAGGGTGGAGGTTTGCACTCAAACGCACAAAATGACTTTTAATGAAGTGCTGAGCAGGAAAATACAAGCCTTTTTTTAGTTTACACGGGCTAAAAACAGCAAGCAAGATAGGTAAAAAACTATTGCAAGTTGGGAATTATAAATCAAAGATTGCTTCACACCTTTGAAGAACCTTGAAGAAACAAATGGCCTAGGCCTCCTTCTTGTTGATCAAAAACAGTCCCAAAATCAAAGAAACAACCTCCCAAGTCCATCAAATCTCGGAGTAAGGTGTGATGGTGTGTGTAATGGTGGCAAAAGTAAGGTAAAAACCCACCTTTGAAGCTAAACGAACACACACAAAAGGACGGGAGAGAAGAGGCGAGTATAGAGATAATATGTAATCTAATATCTCCAGGTCTGGTTTTTGGTTGCAAAGAGATCAACCTAGATCAAAGAGGGAAAAGGCCCTCCTTTTATAAGGCTCCCTCTTGCAAAGCTTTATACAAACAAGCTTGCTTAGAGGGGGAAATCCTCTCATACACCGTGTATGGAGGGGGGAAGAGTTGGTGCCAGCTATCAAACAGCTGGCAAACAAATG